TAGAACGGAAAATTTTGTATTATAATATCTATTTTCCAAAGTTATAGATTGACTAGTTTAATGCAATATATATAAAAAAAACCCATGTTATATACTTCGGAAAAGAAATAGCCACGGCTTAAATTGAAAATAAAGAGCTTGTTTGCGTTGAGTTCTTATTTTTAGGGCAACGAAAACTGAAACTTCAAAGGGCGTCAGCAAAAATAAAAAATCAATTTGGTAAATAACGGACACCCTAATACTATAGTCTGTGTCGCAAGGATAGCCATATAAATATTTAATGTAATGCTTGTACTGCAGTGTTTGTGTGTGAGTATGGTGTATACATGGAACACAAATTGAATAAAAGTGTCGTTATATAACTGTGATAATAATTTTTTTGTTGCTGCAACTTAAAAAAGACTTATATCGATTTTGCTTATGTCCCGGTAGATTTAACTGTCGTGAGAATTTATATTTCATTTGAATAGTTCGACACTTATTAATTTTTGTTTTTAATTAATGTAATATATATTATATCCATAAGATGTTAAAATTCTACCCAAACTGACTTTCTAAACAAAAAATTTGTATTGTATGACCATTACGAAAAGAATCGCGTAAAAACATTTTTTTCTTTGTTTATATGGCAACGGAAATTTTCAACTCACAAACGATATTAATAAGCGAGGTTCTGGGTGCTAGAATCTCGGGAAATTATTTTCAAACTGGTACATTAAATAGCGAGGAAGTCAATGAATTTTGCGAAATTTATTTGAGACTGGATATCCAATTCTGATAATTCATCAAGTCCCTTGAACTGCGAAGCTCTTAGATATCTAAGACGAGTTCTACAAGTATGTAAAGCCGGACAGAAGCAAAGGAGGTGTTCCAGCGACTATTTTTACCGCTTACATCCCTGCTTTTTCTGCATAGTTATTATAGGAGTGATATAATTTTCAGATTTATTTGAAGTTCACAAACAGACGTGGCAAATGCTATTCTAACTGAAAATCCAGACAATATATTTTTTATTTGATTTGGCACTAATTTAGATTTAACTTTTGCATAGTAGGAACAGTCGGTTGCGCTCAGGTTCACAGTGTTTTCAAAATCCAATACCAATATCCATTAGTTAATATTGAATGAAGTATTCGATAACATATAATGACTTCAAACTGGATATCATCCGAAAAACCTTTTATGAGAAAGTCAATACCAATATAATAGAAAATTTACCTCCATATTTAGGAGAGCCAAAAGTTATAATTTTTCTTCAATTAAATATCCGGTAAATTAAGTGGAATACGGGTAATAAAAATATATCTAAAAAGCTCTTCATATTAATTGCAGTTATTCATCAATTCGCTCAAATAAATGTTTTAGCAAATCTTTTTATGTAAACTAAAAAAAAAAAAACAATTATCTACTTAAGGCTATATGTATGCGATGTTTTGCTTGGCCCCACTTCTAAAACTGAATTTTCAATTTCATAATGCCTTCTAAAGCTTTTGCGCTCGCAGCACATTCCCAGCAAATTTGGCTACACCGCACTTAACTTTTGTTTGCGCACTTAGATAGTTGTACATTGCTATCTTTCTTTGCTGCATTTTTCAGCAACGCGTAGAGTTGCATGCTCACGGCTGGCTGGTGTTGCAAGTGCAAGTGCCACTCCCACTCATTTCAGTGAAATATTTCCATTTTAATGGCGCTCCCAAGCGGTAAAAAGCCAAGCCGGATAGTCAGTAAGTGAGCTGGACGGACATTTATTACGAAAGAAGGCAGATGCTAACAAATTTCAATGAGCTCACCGTGCCAGCAGAGGCTTTTATTTATGCACTTTACTCGAGCAGTGTTTGCTTGATTTATATGCTGGCGTAGCTGCTTGTGCCGAAGCTGAAGTGCATAAATGTGTGTGTATGTGTGTAAAGTATGTATATACAAGTGCACTTGTATGGCCCAATGTGGCATTTGAATTCATTGAAATACTAGTTAGTTGCACTTATGTAACCTCATACTTTATGTATAGCTTCTCAATATTCAATATTCACTTTTAATTGAAATTTCAGTTTCGATCCGAAAAGCTCATACACAATTGAGTGGTTTTTGTATGAAATAATACAAGCATGCTTGGCATTGGAATTTTCGAACTCTTATACACTTATATATGTGGTCTATAGAGAAATATGTTTTGCCATTTACAATTTGTTACAAAGGTCTTACTTTTATTGTTGCTTTTTCTAACACCAGCTTCGCAACATAGTTCAAACAAATTCTGCAATATTTTCATGTTCACACAAAATATCCTTGTTTGCTTTAATCTGTTTTATTGGTAAGCGCACAGAGTAGTTCCACAAACGCTGATGGAATGAATGAAGAATTATTTGAAATTCATTTCACACAATTTCTGACTGAGTAAGCAAATGAAATGTTTTTGGATTTCAACAAATGGTACAATATGCTTTCAATTCTTATAAACACACATATATGGTATAAGTACTATTTAAAATAATTACAGTCACAGTCTATGGAATGAAAAGTATCGAAGTGTTTTTGGAAATACAAACAGAATATAGATTTAGTCTTTCGTTAGTCTTTCGTCTCAATCATCTGCTCCGCACACATATTGTACAGCTCAGCTGGCAATACTTCAACGAGCTAAGCTAAGTTGTTAACCATCCCAGTGCCACTTGCTCTCTCTTATAGCCGCGTAATCGAACAATTCGTCCCATTATATTGCATTAAGGATTCGTGTTTAGTATTCGATTTAATACTTCACTAACACCATAGTTAAAAAAAGTACATCTTCCCCGCACAATAAAAAAAAATATCTGAGTAACACAAAACATTCAGTGAAGCTCTTGAAACCATCAGTCAGTCGTATATTCACCCCCGTTGATGATTATAACATCGAAAAAGTTAAAGAAACAGTGCTTGAAAATCGTCGTGTTCCGTTTAATGTTTGGTTTACGAAGCGTCACAATGCCAAACTTGATTACTAAAAGACCAAAATCTTTTGTAAAAACGAAGTCAAGTAGAGGTCGCAAAAGCGACGTAGTTGAGTTCATGACGAGACGTGGGATAACGAATAAGACGTCGAAACTGTCCAACAATCCAGAAAATGACGCCTCACTAAACGAAACCGGAAAAACTAAAATGCCTTTTCCATATTCACATTGAGTTGAATGCCGTCCACAATATAAATTACAAAGAAAGCTAATAAAGAGTACAAAAGAGGATAAGGAAGTTAAAATGCTCTGCAGCAGGAGATGGAAACATGTTGCATGTGATGAAAATTGCAAATTTACCAACTGACTGCGCCGCACCACAAGCTGGCTGCAGAAAAAATATTGCACTTTACACTTGCAACAGAATGGCAAGGGTGGCGCCAACGTCGCGTCGCGAAAAATATATTCTAAAATACTTGTATAAAATGAATAATAAACTGTAAAAAAAAGTAAAAAACATTTATCATGCAAGTGAGCGCGCAATTTCGTGAACAATTCGCCACAGCGCCGGGCCGCGCACAGCCATTTAGTGGAGAGTGGTCGCGCGGGTGGTGGCCCCAAGCAAGCATATAAAAATATTTATTGTTTGAAAAATCGTCAGTTTAAAAGAGATAACTGGCATGCGAGAATAAATTAGAGCTAGACGTGGCTAGGCAGGGCGATAACGGTTCATTTTCAATTTGCAAGCTGAATGAGCAATTCTGAATTTTCTGATTTACTCCACATTTTCAATGTTTTTGAGTTCAAATACAATGCTAACTGCGCATTTTTCTAGCAAAAAATCTTTGGGCGAAGGGCTGTGGGTTGTTTCACACAAAATTACATACAAATGGAAATGAGGTATTAAATTGAAATACTTTATTTTGGTTTAAATGTATACATTTGGCTTGAGCATAATGCATAAAACCTAGCAAAGATTTCGTAGCATTTATTACTACGTTGAAGTTCTTAAAATTTTAGTGGAAAATTTGAATAATAAATTTACAGCAGAATATTTACGACTTGGTCTGACAGGAAAAGTAAACACATATGATTTTGGCACGCAATCATTAAGCGTTTGCTGAGTCAGCAGTGCTTAACAGGCAGGGTGTTTCACTAGCAGCTAATAAAAAATATTTTATATATTTCGTGTTGTCGAAAAATTATAAAGCTTTAAAAAATTAAAAGTGAATAATAGTAAAATGGGGAATCCAAAGAAAAATTTTTTTTTGTTACAATTGAGGTTAAAATATGACGCTGAGGTGTCTAAACTTAGTTATACTGATTAGTTAGAAATCATTATTTCTAGCAAGCACACATATTATCCCTCAAAAACAAAAGCAGTAGATAATTTACGACCGTTTTTGTAGCTGTTAGCAGCTGAGTCCATATCAAGATCAAAATTTATTACAGAAAATTAAATAATCGAACAAAATATTTAATCGATAGGTTGCGTTAAGGTTCAGATTTGTCGAAAAACAACAAAAAACGGTGACTTCGGTTTCTATACAACAACTTGATTTGAATCGGTCAGTTTGTATGTCAGATATATCTTGGTTCATTCTAAACAAGTTTTTCTGAGATTGTAGCGCTGTTTTAGGTATTAATTTGTGTGAAATTTCGAGGGAAGGTTATTATATGTGTGTGATAAAATTAGAGTATAATAATTTTTTCTCAACATTAAATTAACTGACAAAAAATTGACATAGCAAAATTGCAATAACATAACATCAACATGACTGAAATGTAAAAACACGAAATACTTGTAGAATTGTATTGACTGCGATTGTCATTAATTTTGACAAAGTGTCAATCGCATACTATAACAGAGTAACTGACAAGCTTAATTAAGTGATATGTGTAATATAATTTGAGGTTACGAAATTGTTGAGAAATTTATTACTTCGCCAGTTTTGAAGCGTTGCGAAATTTGTCTGCAGTAATGACATGACTGCGATAAGCAAATCCGAAATCTTATTTTATAAAACAGAATACATTGTACTTAGTAGTAATATGTTTTTGTTTCTTCCATAGAATTGATTCTTCGTGGGATAACGCTTCACAAAATAAAACAATGATTGGATAACAATTTTGTGAGTTGTGACATAGAGAGCCTGAGGACCTCTAGCGTCTCTATTTTATTTATTTATTATTAATATACATACATATATATAGTATATCATTACGTTAAGTCAAGGCAACTACGAATATAAATGTAATAACAAATTCTGTGAACAACAAAAATATCGCTACTCAGATATACCATTTAAACACCCTCTACTTAACACTAAAACATATACGTGTATAGAATGTAGGTATCTAAGTCCACCTGCATAGCTTAGAATCAACTAAGCGCTTATAGAATAAAATAATAAAACGAGAGTCAGTACTTAAAGCGCTTGCATATAAGGGGATGGAGGAAATAAGCAGGCAGTATGCTGAAATGTCCTTGGGAGAATGCATATTTACCAAGCAAAAAATGAAAAAAAAAGTAAAAAGTAAGAATGCGCCTGAATATATGCAAAAAAGAAGAAAATAAATTACAAGCGCAAGAAATAAAATAAACGCGCACACACATACACACATACACAAATACACATGTGCAACTAAGTATTTTAGTAGAAGTCGTGCAAATTTAATATTACTCTAAAACAACAACAAAAAATTCAGAAATTACGCGTCATGCAGCAGTAAAGGCGCAGGAAGTCGGCAGTGGGCGGTGAAATGTTGTGACTCGCAGTGTTAGTTGCAGTTTTTACTTTCCATCGCAATTTAGCGTTGATTTTCGCTTTTGGCAGGATGTTGAATTCAAGTACGGTCGCAAGCGCATACAATGTTTTGCAAGCCTTTGCTTCATTGTTGTAACTCGTATATCTGCGTGAATGTCGATAGTTGGCGCCGAAAACTTGGCTGACATATACCCCAATCGTGGCATGAAATTGCATTTTTATGAACAACAAGCGGAGCACACACACGCATATAAATGCAGCGGCAACATGGGACCTGCTAGGGAGCGATTTGAGAAAATGAAAATAAATGAGCTTCTAGTTTGAAACTGGTATTGCTTCTGCTTTATGTGAACTAGTGTGATTTGTTGTAAATCATAAAATGAAATTTACATAGTTTAGGTAGCCAATACTATTATAGATGTGCTGGGTCGGAAGAAAATATTGTAGTTTATATCGATTATATAATAATATATATACCACTAAAAGCGTTCGATCGAGAAATGCTCACAATTTTTTAAATTTATTTTCGAGACTCAAAACATACTTCGACAGCAATGCTAACTATGAGTTCGCTTAATGTGCGCTCAAAGTTTGTCAAGGAGTGACTGACCTCACTATCGATAGTATCAAGATACTTTATAATCAAACTTGTTTGGGAGATTGCACATAGCGGAAACGCTGGAGACTGCAAAGTTCATAATAGAGGTCCCGATTTCAATGCATTGCATGGAATGGTCAGGGTCTGCGTTGTCCCCTAACGTTCTCGCGTTAGACTTTTGGATTTTGGGGGAGCTTAGCTGGCGCTAGTCAACAAAAAATGACTGTGCGACTATGAGATCTTCTGCCTAGAGTAGAACCCAGAAGATCTACTGAACTATTTGCTCTTAGCAGGGCTAATTTTTCCGCAAACGTAGGAGCTTTAGCTGCATATTATCCAACAGGCGAACAACATGTGGTAAGCCTGAAAATCTTGTCGGACGAAATTGAAAATCAAAGTTGTATGAAATGTTTAAAATCTCAATCTAGCATTCTGGTAATTGAATAATTTATTGTCATTACATACGCTACCATGACAGTCTAATCGACTTAAGCGAAACGGACCCGAATGCCGCCATGGTTTCTCACTTTACAACTTATGGTCTATGACAAAGATACATTTTTTAGTCATTTAAATTCGTTGTAAACTCAATGTAAATTGTTTTCTCGAATGACGGAAAAAGGCGAACCTGGTTGTAAAATATTTTAAGTTTTAAGCCGAATAAAACATAGCTTTGGGTCTTAAGGAAATTTATTGGAAATTCGTAACTTTTTTTCAAATCTTGCGCAAACATTTTTCATATTCATATACGTAGTTTATAACTTTTTGATATAGGTTTTAAAACTTCAGATGTTCAAATGGATAAATAGCTAAAACTATAGTTCGTACTCGTAATATGTTTAAGCCGAAAACCAATTAATTTTTATAAATTCTTTTAGTCCTGTAAATATAGGCAATTTAAGATTTCCTTCAAATTCTTAGTTAGTTTTCTTCTCAAAAGGCATTATACTCATATCCGAAAAATTTTAATATATTAAAGTTTTTGTTTTAAATGTAAAACTTCAAAAATAAACTACTTGTTCATATTCTCACCACATAAATCTTAATCTATTCACAAGTATGCAACTGTGATTTTATTCAACTGAAAATATACACACACTCATATACATATATATACAAGTAACCTAGGTATAATATATTTAGGACACACGTGGCTTTGCATGCCAATGTTGAAGTATGGCCGTGTTTTTACCAATTTGATTTCGTAAAATTTCTCGGCAAGCATTCGTTATTCTAGTTCGATTTCAATTCGCAAATCCGTTTGTTGTTATTGGAAACTTATATATATATGTGTGTATTGTGTATGTGTATTTGTGTGTAACTATGTAAGCGGATTATGTATATTTTCACATTTGTTCTGACTCATACTTTGTCGGCTGGCTTTCTTTGCTTTATCCGATATTATGCTTTTATTCCAATAGAATTTCATGTAAATTCACTCAACCTCCGGTGAAAATACGCAATGACTTTGGAAAGATGTGCCGGGTAAGTGAATTTGGGACAACATAAGTGCAGTCACACTTAAATGTTTGTGTGTCGTCAGCTGGCACTCACCAAATGACCTTCCTAACATAAATAGAATTAGTGAAGAGAAAAATTTTTGAATATAAAACCTTTGTTATTTAACACTTGAATTTTTGTATGTTTTTTTTTTGGTAAATCCAACAATGCTTACTCATTGATTTTTTGTTATATTAGTTATATTTCTTCATATTGAATTTTCTTAAAATAATTCTTTAACACTCCCTTCTATTTATAATCGGTTTAGTATGCTTCACTGGCTATCCAAATCGCTTGCAATACTTAAATGCAAAAACAAAAATGTATTCGATTTTAAGGTGCTCCACTTAAAGAGCAAAAACAATAAATGCTGATTTGCTACGGCCGCCAATTTTTTAAAGAAAAAAATTCACACGCAAATAAATTTCCTCAAAAACAACAATCTTACGAAAAATCATTGCATTATATTTGTGTACAACAACAACAGCTACAATACCAACGTCCAAGCTGTCTTCAACACAATCAGCACTGTTTGCACGGTGTTACTGCTTGAAATTGGAGACTGCAAGAAGGTCAATTGATTGGCGCCTTCGGTTGTGTGCTCATTTGCGCATATTTTGAGGGTACATAATAGTGGGCGATTGCGTTGGTTCGGGTGTACGCGAGAGATTTTTACGAAAGCACAAAAAGTGTGTAAGTCAATTGGACAGCTTGCAGGTCGTGAAATTAAAACAAATATAATATTTGCGAATTCCAAAAGTTAAATTGGGTGCAAAAGCTGGTCCGTGGCAAGGCAGTGAAGAAATATATAGTATGGTGATAGTAGTAATGGGGTGAAAAGTGGATTTGACAGAATTTATATATGCGAATTTAATACTGTTTATATTCTTACTCATAATGACAGGATAGTGTTTATTCGAATGGAGACACTGAGTGTATCTCTACCTCGCTACGAAATTTTGTTACTTTCTGAGAGGACTTGAAGAACAAAGCTCCTTTCTTGCGGGATAGACATCCACGTAGTGTCTAGTTCCAAGGTTTATTTTCATTGTATGCTGAAAGGCAATGGTTTTGAGATATCAATCTGAAATTTGGAATACGTTCTTTTATGTTCAAGAAACTACTCATTTCTCGGAATCACCGATATCGGGTCACTATAGCATATAGCTATTATACAAACTGATCAATTAAAATCAAGTCCTTGTATGAAATATTTTTTATTTAACATGATATTTTCACGCTATTTGGCATAGATTATTGCCTAAGATAACGTTACCATTTCTGAATATTTCGTTTGGATCGGAGCACTATAGCATATAGCTGCCTTACAAACTCACCAAACGAAATCAAGTTCTTGTAGAAAATACTTCTTTGCAACAAATTCTATGTCTTTGAATTTTTAAAATATATCGCTTATCTTCAAAGTATCTAAAAACGAATGCTTGAGAATTAGCATCCGTTTGGCTGGTGCGTATGCATAATGCGATTTTCCATTATTTTAGTTGCTAACGAAACTATTTGTTTGTTTATATAAGAAATAATATCCGATAGTCCAAGCATATGCATATACATTTTTAAACACAAATTACCGAATTCGTACATGCTGTAGTGTTTATTTACATAAGATTGAGCATTTGTATACATACAAATAAAATCCATTGAAAAATTGTATACAAATATGTGCGTTTAGTTGTTGTAGCTTTTTTCATTCGAACAATTAATTTAGAGTTTTGTTTACTTAAAATAAAGCGGAGAAATTATTTTATTGTTTTCTGCTTTGCGATTGATAACTAGTATGGCGATTAGCATTTCAATCAATGTCTGCAATGCTTGTGTCATTGATTGCTTGCTATTAACTCTTCTTGAACTTATGCGCTTTGAGCTGTGGTACTAAAAGTAAGTCCTGCAAAATGAAATTATTAAAATATCGTACTAAAAAGGATGATGTAATTTTGTCAGATACAAAAATTTCGACTAGACTTTCGATCATTACTTGTATATGTTACATTTATAGTAACAATAAAGTTTCTTGGCTTTTGAATTTGAGATAATTTTAAACAGAAAAATCTTTCTCACCAGCAGATACCTCTTTTCGGAGGTTTTTCTTGAGTTTGGCTACGGATCAAGTAGTGGTTTGAGACTAATTTGTAAAAAATTTTATTCTCAATAATTTTCTTCTTCTATTTGTGATTAATAAAAAATATATTAAGCTGTCACATGCAATCTGGCAATGTTCACTTAATCCACTTTCTCTACGCTTTTCTACACTAATTTCCCAAAAGTGTTCTATTTAAATGAATTTATATCCTCAGTAGACTTAAATCCACACACCACTTACTTTTCCCTACTCTTAATGTACCCTACATATATATAAGGAAACCCTGCTAGCTAATCTGGCTTTAAAATAATCTAAGGTATTGTGAAATTAAATAAAAAACAAATGCAAAATACCTGCCACAATAAAAGTAAACAAACACACACACATATATATACATATCTATTACCAATCGCACTTAGTTAAAGAGCACAAAAATAAATAGGCTTACTTTCGAATTGAGCACAGGCATACAATTAAATGCGTTTGTATGTATCTTTCTACATATCCAAATGTTATTTCACTTACTGTATTGTTGTAATGTTGCTATTACTGTTGCTTTTGATTTATTCGCCCTAGTTGCTACCACTTCAAATGCGGAAATGCAATGCGAGGCACCTGGAAGTAATGTGTAAAGAAGAAAAGTGAAGTGTAGAGAAAATGTAAGCAAGGTATTTAAGCAGCTTTGTTCGGGTAGAAAATAACACAAAACATGTGAAACTCTAAAACAAATTTACTTATGTTCATTGTACGTGACATTTTAGCATCGAGAATTTATCGTCTCGCCTGCGTGCATGTACGCATGTGGCAAGTAAGTGTGTTTACATTTCCGGGAGCATAGAAAAGTTGAATACTTTTAAGGAAGGTACGTGGATTACGTGTGTAAGTTTATGGTTAACTATAACTGCTTATGAATATACAAAGACACATATAAGAGTATATATAATGCTTTGATGCATATCTCTAAATACTATGCGTGCCGAAATTGCAAACACAAGTGGTTCTCATGCATACAAATGTTTATAGAGGAAGAAAGTATCGGAAACCAATTTATAAATATGGTCAGACATGTGGTAGTGCTGGGGTTTAAATTTTAAATTAGGTATTATCTTGAACGAAGCGAAGTGAAAAGATTTGTCGATTAGCTAAGAATTATATAACATTCACAATATTTATCTATTATTGGTATAATCAGCAAACGATCTACAAGAAGTGGTTCTATAACGATTTTTATATTACAAACTCTTCTTTAAATTAGAATGTGACTTTTTATTGTATAGTTATGTTCTCATAAGTAACTTAAATCCAAACTTCTGCCTCCGTTTAAAAGGAAAGTCAACAATTTATCCAACAAAAAAAAAAACAACTAAAAAATGCTCATAAATTATTTAAACTTTACCTTACCTAATTATTTAAGGGGTAATATCCACTTGCAACTCAGAAACAAATTCGTTTTTTTTTGTGAATTTTTTTTAAGAGGCCTTTTACTTTTTAAATCTATAGAGGTATAGTATATTCACAGAATTTAATGTATTTTAATAAACGCTGATTCATTTAGATAAGTTTTCGATTTTCTTGATCCCGTAACCGATATCCAGGAAGTTCTTCGAAAAAATATATTATGTATGACGTGAGGAGGAAGATTTTTCTACTTAAAATTATCTCAAATTCAAAACTCGAAAAAATGTTTTATAACTATAGATAAGTATAGACAATAATCAAAGGACTAATTAAAATTTGGAAGTTTGACAAAATGGCGGCTTCTCAAAAGAAAGGAATTTTTTGTGAAAAAATTTACGATTGCACAAAGTTAAAAAAATGCTTGTAAATTAGTAGTATGTTTATGTACAACCAAAAAAAAAAAATTTTAGAAAATCACAAGTGGATGTAAACCCTTAATTCGCCAAGGTGTATGAGTAACAATATTAGGCAATGGTGAAATTACTAATGCGTAAGCAACATTAAAAAGTTACTTAAAAACTGAAAAAAAAATGTTTCTACTAAGTAAATAAGTGACCTTTTCGACCTTTTTATTGCCAAGTTAAATGTGAATGTTGTGTGGCAAACCAATGTGTCATTATTTGTAAAGTAGCCATAACCTAAAAATGTTACCTTCATTTAGGACAATTGTTAAGGAACACTTTTTCTCTGTAAATAATAACCACAACACATTTTAATTTTATCCACTTTTACTCTAAAGACTTCAAGAGTCGCCATGGCGTATGAGTAATATTATTAGTGAATGATATAATATTAAGATGCATATTAAAAACTGTTTAAATCTTCTTTGAGTCATTAAAAAATCCTTGAGTCACTCCCAAAGCTTCTGTGTGCCGTTGCTCATATTTCTTCAACTTCTTTGCTCAAGCTATGCCATCTCTTTGCAATCCGCCCCATTTTAATGAAATATCCAATATATGATGAAAACTACATTCCAATTTGAATTTCAAAAATGGATTTAAGCATTATTTTGTAGTCTTAATTAAAATCTACGTAATTGTCTAACGATTAATATCTAACTGCTTGACAACCAGATTTATTTATCTACTTATATCTATGAAAAAAGTTAAAGCTACAGTTGTCGACATCTAATTTAGTTGCTACGATGAAGCTATTAAATATCAGCCATACAAATTATTCATTATATGCCCTGCGGTGAAGTGAAAGTGTCTGTTTATATATAGATTTATGCGATTTTATGAATTATTCAGCGTAATTTGATAATTTAGCTATAGTGTCATTTGTCACCGTTCTGAAAGCTCCGCTTTATTAATAAATAATTCAATTTGAAATTGCTTTATATATTTTTTATAGATGCCTGCAGGCATCTCCTGCTTCTTGCTACGCCACTGTACCATCCCTCATTTTGATTACCCGCCAGTAGTCTCCGCGCTAGTCTGCTAAACAGACTGCGTGCTCCATGCCTCACCAGCACCTTAATTCCCGATAAACTGATTTCAAGCTAAAAGCAAACAATATTTGTGGCACTCGCACTGCCATCCTTAGCCTGTGCTGAGTGCCTATTTATTATCATGTGTCCTTCCATCTACATCTATATCTTCACCAACACTAACACTAACACAAACACCCCTTACAGCCTTGAGTACGTACAGCTGCTTTGGAATGCGACCAGACCAAACCACAAGGAGCGCGTCAATAATGCATGCAAAAATAGACCCGAAGTGAGTCAAGTGACACAAAGTTAACCTCGGCGGTGTGGAGCACGACGCGTGGCGGACAATGGGAAATGATATGGCAATGAAAAAGACAAATAAGCAGTAGAGGCGATTACATAAACAACGAAATTGTGGCGGAAGATGTTCGTGTGCGTTGGCGCTATAAATAGCGCAACTGTTGCACAGCGGACAGGCGAGTTGAAATGAGTGCGACTAACAATAAACGAAAATACTTTCTTGCGTGGAAGTGTGCATTTGTGCTCGTATACTTTCGCAGACATTTATTCGTTTACATTGATTTATCGGTATGGGTGGATCTTAATAAGTCTGCATAAACTGATTTTTATAATTTTATTACTATTAAATGAACTTTACAACAAGTAAGAAAGCGCTAAATTGGAGTGAAACCGAATATTATGGCTAAGAAATCCACTTAATTTCATTAAATTATCACATCTTGACTATCATTAACGGTAAGGTGGAAATTACTTTATCGCAAATATTGAGGCTAGGGGAAGGCCTGGAATGATTACATTAAGTTTTGGCATTTTTTAAGATTACTACAGAACATGTTTCCATGGTAATTTCGTAGAGATAATTAACACACTGACCAACAATTTCGACATAAGTTCTGCCAGACTAACGATTATACATGTACATACATATATAGTATAGGGGAGCTGGGGTAATTTGTGTAATAAGTGATTTCACACATTTTTGGGGTTAAGCTGTAGTATATGCAACATTTTACGTTCACTTAATATCGCTATGCAATCTGACATATGGACCGATATATAGGAGCCAAACGGTAGTATACAATTTCAATATTAAGTAGTCTCCACACTAGTGAAATTGTTGCTCAGAAGTGTATATATTTTTGGCATTATGACATACTATTATCAGAAATACTAGAATCTTTCTGAATTTTATTTAAAATAACTCATATGCTGACCGATATATATGGTTCATAGTTAATCTCAAGTTTGAAAAATTTTAGATTAGGTATATCGGTGCGACTTACCGCAGACTCGATTTGACTCCTTTTGACAGACCATTTTAAGGAAAATATATTTCAAAGATTAATAGATATTTTTGTTAAAAAATAATTAATTTTTACTTTCGCTAATACAGATGAAAGGACAGACATTCGAATTCCACTCATCTCGTTATCTTGGTCATTACTCTATATTCATCTCAATTAGCTTTAGGTGTTACAACAACAATCGTCAGGTGAACTAAACTATTATACTCCATAGCAACATGTTGCGAGAGTATAAAAAATGTTGCAAAACCTAGGAAAATGCATAGTGTATGTATGTATACAAATATAAATAAATACATATAAATGCATTTTTATTTCATTACAGAATTTTGTATATATGACTAAGAAACATATCGTACATATGTATATAAGTACATAATTATACATTGTTAAATGTCAGTTCATCCACAATTACATGCTAGATGTAAATAAACAAGTGTAAAGTAATGAAAGTCGACGCCGTAATTATCAGCAATATTGCGATGAAGGTGTTGAAAAATAATGAGAGCGAAACCAGGCGTGCAATTAAAAAAGAAAAATCCATAGAAATCACAGTTTATATAACAGACAGGCAGTGTGAGTAGAAAGCATTGAAATTATGAAACGCATAGGCTTCAAGCATCTCTGCAAGGCTGCGCCTTAGTGTTTGAAGTGATTTGAGAATTTTTTTTATTATGAGATTTCAGAGATGTTATGAGTTTGACTACATATAAGTTCATATTTGTACAAATAAGATAGGTAGGAGGGAAAGCGAAAACTAAATACGTGCAAATTTTACTTAGAATTATAGTTTTGTGAAATATTACGAATTGAGTACAAAAATTTTAAATTAAAAAATTATTTGTTATCACGATAAAATAACATAAAAACTTAATACGCTCATTTTTCGTTTCAAAGTAACTGATATTTTATTTCAAGTGATCACTTATTATAAGTCCATTAAAATATCAAATGGACTAATGGATGTAATAATTTATTGATATTGAATCCCGTTAAGCTAGTAAAGATTACCATTTTATTTTATTAAGATAGCACACAATTTATAAATATATTACTTATATATACATATATATGGTATTAAGCCAACTAAGCGCTGGCAATCAATGTTTTTTGTGTGGTATATGAGGTTAGGAAAAAGAGTTAACCCATATTAGAAGTACAGTTGCAATTTACATCACTATACACACATTTCTCTTGTTCATAAGAACGGTATTTTGGAAGACATGAAATTAACTCGTCTTGTGATATTAAGCGTTTCAATATACATAAAGTCTATAAATTGGTAAGATATAGAAGCAGTTGATTCGAATATATTTTTTGGTGTTAACAGAAAGAGAAAACAAGTTAGATCTGGGCTTTTCGTGAGCTTAGCAAGCACTAGTCAATCAGCTTTTGTATAA